GGAATGAAACTCAGAAGTTGCATCATGGCCCACTGGTAGCTACTTAAATCAGCAGCAAATTTGGCCCAAGGGCTCTGAACTGCCAAACATTGCTGACCAGCCCATGGATTGCTATAAAATGTCTGTGCTGTTCTTACTCACAAAAGCAGGTTTGCAAAGCTAGGTAGGCCCAAATGTCACTGCTGAAGGTCTGCCACTTGGTTTCAAGGCAGTAAAAATGTATTGAACCAAAAGATGGAAAGATACGTAGTATGCAACACTGGAAAAAATGATTACTGGATGGAAAAGTAGACGAAGGTGGCCTTTTGTGGCTTTTTCTGTGGTAGAGAGGCTGTAATTATTATGTTCCACAGGACATCTTGCGAGAAAGCACTGCCCAGCACTCTCAGGGGCTATTTTGGAACTTGTATAGTAATCATTTTCAAAATGTGCTGATCCTTGTCCCCATTTGTAAAATACCTAGTGATGCCAACCAATATATCCTCTGTCCTGGTCTTAAGTTGAAGAACGTGTCTCAGGGAAGTGCAGTTTCCCCAAGGGGAAGGTCACATATATCTTGCACTTTCCATGAAAGCTCCAGAACTGAGAACGGCTATTCTGCAAGCATGCTGGAATAGAAACGGTAAAGTGCCTCTGCTCTACCACAACTGCTGGGCAACATTTTACAAGAAATTTATCTGCAGGACCAGAAGAAGCTGTGGAAATTCCCCAAAGAGAACTCAAACCCTCATTATTGATTTGCCAGCAGTGAAAATTCCTAAGGTCTCAGTTCATCCCCTATAAAAAATAGCACCAGTCATGCCTGCGCCTCACTATTCATCGTCAGAACAATATCTACTTTAATTAAATCTCTTAAAGTAGAATATGACACCCTTTGGGACATAGATTTAGCGTGAGACTGTTTATCAAGTGTAGATAATACTAATTGTTCCCATGGAGATTTATCTGCTATGCCAGTTACAGTATTCGGCTCTGGCCTCAGCATCCCATGTGCCTGAATTAGAGGAGAGAGGTGAACCTTGTTTATAAAAATACAAAGTCCTGAAGGTTAAGGATTTCTTTCAAGTGGCACATTCAGAGACCTGAAGCTGACCCTCTTAGCTCCTGGCCTTGACTCACGTGTCTGCAAGTCTGGGAATATTAATAGAAAGAAGGCACTATTTGAGAAATATCCTTTTAACGCTCTCGTTTGCATGACGGCTCTTCAGCTAGCAAGTGGCTAATGCCATCTGCTCCTGTGTCATCCCAGGGTTAACCCACAGCAGGGGCAGACCCTGAGTCACTGTCTGTGTAAGCAGTCGCAGCTACGAGGCAGAGACAAGGCAGAAGCATTATACCTTTGCATCCTCGCTCCCCAACACTCTTGTGCATTAGTAATGCTCCAAAGGTCACACTGTCCTTTTCTAGGACCAGGCTGTCAGAGGGAGATGTGGGCTTTGTACCACCAGAATAAGGCCAGATGAAGCAGATGAGCTCTTCAGCAGACGGCAAAATAACAGGAATTGTGAAGTTCCTTGCAGCCAGATGTCTGAATACTGATCCTAATGCATCCTACACCTGGGAAAGCTTTGAATACCACAAGGCCTTCACAAAAGCCTTGTCTGCTTCAGCTAAACTCTGCATGTTAACAAGTGTCTGCTATTGATCACGGTAATTCAACTTTACGATTTAAACAAGGAGAGCTGGCAACAAGGAAGGGGAGGTGCTCACACACATTGATGTGAGACCTACCTCCCATTCCCCTGGCTGTGGCTCCCCCTTATCTCTTGCAGGCCTTGCATTCGCTCTTTAGGCATGGCATGCGCTTCATGTACGGGGATGAAGGGAAGGCATGTTCCTCCCATCCCTGGCTCATCTCTGCAGAGGCAGCAGATAGCTGCTGAGACCGGGTAGAAGACTATGCTCGCCTTTGTGATGCGTTAGTCTCAGCTCCTAAGGGAAAGATGTTACACTGAGATCCGCAGAAATTTCCACCATGCTCTAGTCTTTCGTCCACGTCAGTGATCTAGACTGGGGGACTGGCAAAGTGGGGGGAGACATTGGGTCGCCAGTGCCGTGTGAGGCATGGTGGATGACACTACATCCAGAACTGTGCTGCAGAAAAGACAACACTAGCAGTTCATGGAGAGCTCCCTCTGAACGGACTTGTCTTGTACTGCTCACAATCGAAATACCTGGAGTGATGATGATGCTCCTCTCCCTCACTCCTTGCGATTATGCATCTGCCCTGACGCTCTGAAGTAACTAAGCCAAGCAATCCTGATGTTTAAGACAGGTCATGTTGCAGATGGAGTCATTCTTAGTTTGATTCAGTGGCTGGTTTTCAGATCGCTTTGTCCTGGTAATCTCTTGTGATTAAATCCCATTTGTAGCTTTTCAGGCATCAGTTTGTGCAACCACTGCCACGGAGCTGCCACAGCCAGCCCTGACTGGCAGGTCGCAGCCACACGATCCCAGGTCTCAAGACATTCCAGAAAGCTGATGGGGGAACTAAGCACTGACCGGGACCGTGGGACCAGCTTCATCAAGTGTTCATGGGAAAGGCATCAGTAACTTGGGTGCCTGGATCAGTTTCCATTCCTCGTGGAAAAGACATAGTGCAAGTAATTCAGTGGGCACTATCAAGGGATGAATGGGTACTTAGCAAAGTTCCTTTGGTCAAGATAGGTTTCTAGCTGGATGGTGAGAAGTAGGAAATACATGTGATGATCCCTGAGACACCCCCATTCTCGGGCTGTGCTCTGCCTAGTACACGCCTTTACTGCTTGGCGGTTCCTGTTGGTACCAACGTTATTCACTTGTTTGTCACCATAAGCAGCAAACGCTTGCTGGCTAGTCTACAACTGACAGAAAACGGAATAAATCAACCAAAACAGCAAAACCTACTGGCATGAGAAGAGTGAGGGGAGAGAAAGCAAGCAGCAGTGTGCTCTACTGCATGCCGCGGTTCACACACTGGTGCTTCCAAGCAAGAGCAGCTACTCAATCTGAGCTTGGAGACCTGAGCTCCAGGAGAAGGACCCCAGGACAGCGAGACAGCGAGCAGCATGACCCTGCCCCCGGCCTCCTTTCTGATGGCCTGAAAACACCATCTGGCGGGTTTAAGTGCCACAGGAGGAGCAGCTCTCTGTCCCATGCATCCCACCCTTACCTTAAAAGGCACTGAGGATTTATAGGAGTCAGGCACTTCCCAGCTCAGCAACACAGACGTTTTCATGACGGCATTGACGCGGAAGTTCTTAGCAAACACTGAAATGAAAAACAAGATCTATGAGCACCGTAAGGCCAAGTCAGGAGGGAGCCAGGCAGCAGCTCAGCTCCAAGTCTCTCTTTGTCTAACTCAGCAGCAGAGGTCAGAGAGTTCAGCTACAGCAGAGAAGTGAGAGATGAGGAGAAGAGAGCAGCAGCCTTTTACCAAGTCGCCAGTCTCCAGTGGAGTTTCCCTTTTTGACTATACTTTCCAGCATCACAGAAAGGGAGTTGTAGGCTGAGCTGTAGCCTTCCTCTCTCTCTCCCCCTCCACTCACACTCTCTTGGCCCTTTGCTATGATCAAAGAACAGCAGTGCTCAGGTATTGGAGCTGCAGATGATCCTACCCAGCCGTCCGCTCCAGTTCAAGCAAGAGTCTTTCATGTACAGATAAAACAGCAAAGCATGCCTGTGAAGCGACAAAGGCAATTAAGCTACCACCAACACCCCTCCAACTGGCAACTTTAAGGAAACCTTCTTTTAGCCTCCCCTCACAGAACTAGTTTTACACTAGGGAGTCACATAATACCTGTTCTCATTAGCCACAGCAAAGGAGAGTGGAGCCTCAGGTGCCAAAGCAAAGGTCCCTGTCCTGGAGCCAGAGCTTGCTGGTGGGGCTTGTCAGAGATGCACTTACCTTGCTCAACAGGCATGGTCCGGGACTGGATGCTGGGGCTGAGCGGCCCAACTCCCTTATTGGTGCGGGCCCTCACTTTGATGTCGTAAGTGGTATCAGGCTTCAAATTGGTCAAAGTGATACTTGTGTCCTTGGTGACGTTAACCAGGTCCTGCTGGCTATTGATGTCCCTATACACCACTGTGTAGTTGACGATCCTGCCGTTTCTCTCTGCTAAGACTGGGGGTTCCCATGCGACCTCTGTGGTGGAAGTGGTGAGACCCACCACGCGCAGGTTCTGCGGGAAGCCGCTTGGCACATCTTCTGCAGTAGTGATCTCCTTCTCAAATTCCTCTCCTGGACCAGCTCTGTTCTTGGCAGACAGCTTGAACAGGTATGTGGCCCCCTTGTGCAGGTTCGTCACAGTGTAGTGATGATCTCTCTTCCCAAAGTCTATCGTGTTCATCTTCTCTTCATCAAGACGTCTGTACTGCAGCCGGTAACCCAGCAGCTCCCCTACCATCTCCTTGGGTGGGTGCCACTGGATGAGGGCTGTGTTCATGGCTGTCGTGCTAATCATCATGGTGGGCTTCCCCGGGACTGCAACATAAACACACAATGACCATCTATAGCCTGGGAGGAGGGAGCGGAAGGACAGCTTCCGTGCTGCTCAGTCCATGAGGACTGAGGAAAGTGGGAGAGCTCAGACAACAGGGTGAAGAGGATGACAGACAACTCACATGGATAGAGGCAGACTGACCCTAATCCAGTGGCGAGGGAAGTTGGAATCAGCCAGTTCTTGGCTGCCATTTTCCCAAGTTCTGCCATCTAAACAGGCAGTAAATTCAGCTATATCCAGCCCCAAAATTCACACCCTGTTACAGGAAAAGTTTAAGGTACCTCAGTGCATCACATTTATCTCAGAGATGATCTGAATCCTGTCCTCCCAATCAGCGTTCTTCAGACAATTCAGCTAGCGCATACCACCAGGCCACTCTGGCCCTGACGCACTGAATGACCACAGACACACAGAAGCCCACAGAAGTCTGTCTGGAGGCAGACAAATTTCATCCCGAGACCTTGCAATTTTACCATCTGCAGAGGCAGCAAGCAGAGCTGGGTGGGCTGTTTGCAATCAGAGTGCATTTTGGTTTAGCTGATGAGCAGATTCATGATGTCAGTGTCGATGTGAGAGGTGAACACAAGCGTTCCACGGGATTTTTGCTTATGCTGCACAAGTCAAAGGGTGTTGCCGTCACAAGTTAGAAACTGATGGCTTTAAACTGATGGTTTAATACCTTGATCTCCTTCAGTTAAAAAAGGATGCGTCTTCACTTCACACCAGCTCAGATTGTAAAAAAGTCAACTGATAGGGAAGATACTCAGAATGAAAGGCATGGGGCCACTGATACAAAAAAGCAAATGGCATCGTAGCCAAAAATAGCTAAATACCTTTGCACAGTTTTGAAATGTCTTAGACCACAGATGAGCATAAGAGAAAACATAACGGACAGAATTATGCCCCAATTTTGCCATCAGAGGGCGATACCAACACTCCCCTTTGAGGTCAAGCCTGCAGATGAGCCAGTACAAAGGCAGCTCTGGGGGTGGTTTTGTAGGTATTTAAGGGACACAATTAAATTTCCACTGCCAATACCTTCCTCCCTGCACTCATAATACAATGTCTAACAGCAGCTAGTGTTAAGGGACAGATTATTTTCAAAGCTGATTCAAAATATTAACTTTAAATGTGCATCATAACATGGGAAGACCCACTGTGGTTTACGGTACAACACCAGGATGTTTAGGAAGCTTTTCCTGTTTATGGGACAGCTGTAGCAATTTGATGAACAGAGCATACATCATTGCGAGGCACAAGGGAGACAGCATTTGAGACTGTGACAGTGGAAACTACCTCTGGAGCTCCCCATATGCAGCACAGAGGAGACGGCAAGCTGTTCCTTGCTGAAAAGCACCAGGAACAAATGCTCTCAGTTTACACAAGCTGCATTCCCATAATAACAACTGACAAACACTGTTCCTACGTCTGTTGTGAGAAGCTGCAGGATTATCATTTGTAGGACAGGTCTAGTGGGTGGAAAATCGAGGACAAGACAACGATAACTAATCGGTGCCAGCTCCAAAGACAACTTTGACCACATCCAGAGTAAGCACCTGATGAACTCCCGGGTACCCCACTCCTGGCCGAGGCTCCTGCGTTGCACTAGGCATAGGGTACGAATATCTACTGAGATAGCAGAACCAGACTGGCTGAGATCACCAGGATCTAGTAGTTGTATCGTGTCTGCAGCACTTCTATGGCAGGACTTGTTGCATTCCAGATTTTACCATGGCTCTAGGAGCAGCCAGGCTCAGCTAAGTACGCCTGGGGAGGCAGCAGGAACAGCAGCCGGGAGGGAGCTTAGAAGTGCCTCCGAGGGACCCTCCAGCGCCAGGAGGGCCATCCCAGGCAGTACTACAGTCACATAGGAAGCAAGAAATGGCACTCACTTAACCCTGCCGCACCAGGAAACAACGTGAGGAAAGGCCTTGACTCCAAAGCTGAGGGAAGGCCTGGGCTTGCAGGCTTCCTCTTCCCAGGTCTGTGGACTACGCAGATGAGCTCAGACCAAAGAGTTTTATTGCTCTCTCATGGGCCCTGGCAGTGCCTGTCCATCTCTTAGCTGCACTTTGCTCAGGTGATCCAGTGGCAAAAGCCTGTAAATAACGGCTGGAGACCACAAGAGTATATACCTCTGCAGCACCTCCAACCTCATCGCTTCCTCGGCCATACTCCCCATGCACTTCTCGGGAGCTTTTACCACCATCCCTAAGAGGCTGCAGCGTCCGCTCCCCACACTCACCTGCCCCCGTGGTGGTGATGACCTTCGGCTTGCTGCGGGCACCATCTCCTTTGGTGGTGTAGGCAGCGACAGTGACCGAGTAGGTGGTTTCTGGCAGCAGGCCTCCAATGACCGTCTCCTGGGAGCACATCCACGAGGCGGAGAGGAGGCAAACGAGAACAGCAAACAACCATTACCACAGTGAGCAAAAGAAGGGCACTGGGGTCAACGTCTCCAAAGCAACACACTGGCACACTGGCTCACACTCATGCATCACACCCAGCCTCACAGGTCTCGCCAAGCTGGCTCTCATGCAGAGCGAGCAAACAACAACCACCGTTGTTCCAACATTCGCCTAATTGCAACCCCTGCCTCTAACGCTTGGCCTTGCAGGGGACCCACCAACAATGTGTGTCAGCAGCTCTTGCCAGGCTGGCTGGGATGGGACACTGCCACCCCAGGAGCCCCCACGCTCCTTCAGCCTGCACACTGCTGAGGGGGAGGAGATCTGCCCTGGAGATAGTCCTGTGTGAGGCCAGAGCCACCCTGCACAGAAAGCCTAAGAGTAAGGACCGCGGCACAGTCAGAGCTGTGAACTGGAGCAAAAGCCAGTTCAGCTGGTTGCGGAAACCTCTCGAGGGCTAATTTGGGAATTTTTAAAGCTTGGCCTGGAGCCGAGTCGACTCTTACAGCAGAGCCACTGGGAGTTCACGCTTCCCTCGCAAGGCAAGGGTCCCAGCGGCAGGGCATCTGCAGGCATCACGGTGCTTTTCACCTTTCCCACCAGGCGCGGAGTCAAGGCCCAGGTCAGCACAAGGCATTGGCAAGACCTGGAGGGAAAACCCTGCGCTGTGGGAGGTCTGGGCAGGAGGGCCGCCCCGGCACGGAGCTAACACCCTTGCATGCCCTGACTTCCTCTGGGCAGGAGGAGGGCATAGCTCCTCATTTAATCTGAGATCAAAGCAAGGAGGAGCCTTGCTCCTCCCTCCTGGCAACATGACTCCTGCTGAGCCCCAGCTGGCCAGGCCTGCCCAGGACATGAGCGCAGGGTGCAGAGCGGCTCCCAGCATCTCTCTGCGGGTAGGGGCAGCTACCCGATAAGTGTGCTCATCTGTCTCACGTGTGCGCTCTGACAGGGAATGGAGCCATTAGCACTAATAATCTCTTGGGCCAGGAAGCAAGAGACAGGGCACTGACGCTGGAAAAGTGACAGGGAAAGCTGCTAGGAGGAGGCTCTGAGGGCTGCTAGGAGTGAGGGGACAGCAGGTAAATACAGATGAAACGCTTCTGCATGTTCACCCTTTAGGATAAGGACAAGAACACGGACAGTGCTGGACAGGAGAAGACCCGCGTGTGAGCTTGGATGGCTGAGGACAGGCAGCACTTTCAGAGGCTGCTTCTGGGGTTTGATATCTGCCCGGGACAGGTGGCACCCGCCAGCTGGGGAGGTGCGAGGGGTCCTCTGTCGTTGCTCTCCAGCACAGCCAGGCTCCCATCACTCGCTCACACAAACACCCACACCAGTAATGCTGCAGATTTCCAGTCGGTGCTGCTGGTTCAGGCTACCTGCCCAGGCTTACTCATCAAAAATCACCCTGTTACCATTGCGTAACCAGCTAGCCCAGAGAAAAATCAACAAGCACCAACAAGAACCCCGCCAAAATCACCGTGTGAACCAGAGTCCAATCCCACCTCCGCCCCTGCAGCAGATCTTGTGTGCGGGTGAGTGGACGCGCAGTCCGATCGGTGCCAATGGACCCGCAGGGGAAGCACTCACACAAAACCTGCAGACTCTGAACATCCCAAGAGAATTCACTCCTCCCAAATCCATGCAAAGAGAAATTCTCACGCAAAAGCATGCCACCGGGAGCAAAGCAAGCGAGCTGGGAGAGGGAAAAGAGACGAGGGATGGATGAAAGAAGGTCTGATTGCATAACGTAAACACAGTGCTGTCACGACAAAGCCACTCCGAGCGAGACTGCTCAGCATTAAAGCAGGAGGAGAAACGCATCATGCCGGGAAAGCTCACAGTAGGGCATGTAATTGAATTGCTGACTCTAAAAAGGTCATTTTCTAGTTTGTTCCTCCGAATTTATATTTCAAAATTATGTGGGAGAAATTGGATTTAACTGTTTAAATATGATTGTTTTCTTATTACTATCTATGTTTCAGCCAAAGGTCACGGTTGAGAGTGTAGGCTATTTTTCATGACTAGGATCAATGAGGTTTAAAGATTACGCATCTAATTTTACCGTGCAAAGTGGTGGGCCAACTACTGCAGAAGGTAGGATGCACCTCCTGAGTCGATCACTTGAGCCTGCCTAAAACTGCACTGCAACAAGCTGGAAATACAGATTATAGGAAATGTCAGTTGCTTTTCTGCATTTAGTAACAATCTAAATGTCAATTTTCTCTGGATTTACTGCTTGTGGAAGGCTCCACAATGTAACTCTCCAGCTTCATTAAGGGAGTCAAAGGGATGTTTTGACAGCACTATGTCTACAAAATTCACAAATCGATTTACCAAACCCCTCTTTTCCAACCTGGAATACACACACAAGTGGTACTTACATGGTCGACGGAGTCCTCAGCTCTCCACTGACGAGGGAGAAAGGAAGGAGGAGAGAAAAATGGAGACACAGAAATTTAAGGGGCAACATGTAGGAAGGGGGCGACAACGACAACAGCAGGGGTTAGCAGGACTGGGTGGGTGGGGGGGATTATAACACTTATGCACAGAAGGTCACTTGGCACAGGCTGTACCAAGGGAAGAAATGGGATACAGAGCAATTTTCTACATGCTGCTAGCCTGCGCAGTAGGTCTGAGATCATTCACACAAGCAGGGGCTAAGAGCTTCCCTCTCACACAGACGGAGAGGTCACCACCTGCTAACTTTGCAGTCCTTCCCCCATCTGGCTTTGTTCGCACTTTTCTACCTGTTCCACGAGCAAGAGCAAGAAGGGGAAAGCTTGCACAGACACGAGTCTGGTGCTGACACTGCTGGGCTGCCTATACGTGCTCAGCAACGGCGGCTGCCCCAGGCAGCATCTTCATTAGGTGCGCTCCACTGCTGCCCTGTGAGAAACAGCATTCACAACAGTTTGTGGCCTAATCTCTACTCTCTGTCCTAGCGCTCCTCCAGCCACCGCCTCTGGCTGAGAACTGAGAACTTAACAATCCAGACCCAAAGAGGTTTGTCTGAACGGAAGCACTGATACGATATTTACAGAGCTTCTCTGTCCCATACCACGTGCGAGAAAGTGCTCTGGGAACCTCAGAAAACTGAGATGAAAGTGCCATCTCTTGGAAACACCGTGAAAGAGAGGCAGAGATCTTGTACAGAGCTACATGCTAAACTGTTCCACTCAAATGGTACTGCATTGCTTGGAACGAGGGTTACAAGTGGTGGATATACTGAGGAAATAGCTTCTCACTCCCAATTACACAACACCAAGACGACAAATGAGAGCGCTCATTTGGCAAGAGCAGCCCTGGCAAGTAAGAATTCTACACTAAAATTTTCCCAATAAAAGATCATGTGGGATGCCAGCCGCGGCAGCTCAGTTATGATGCTGGAGAGGGACTATGCTGTCTTCTGATCCCTGCTGAATGAATTTGGGGTTCTAATGCATCAAAACTGCACTGTGGTGGTGAGACTTCAGCAAAGCTTGGCTGCTACCATGCATGCCAGGAACACGGTTCTTTGTGGATGACGCACCAAGGGGAAGTTTGCAGAGATCAAAGCAAGCTCTCTCAGCCAAGGTGATGCATTACATCTCAGGTTACTAAACCTGCATGGAGGAAGCACTGGTCAATGGGTTCAAGCATAGAGATGAAAGTGCAAGTTAAGCATTACTGCTCCTGCCTCTCAGCGTGAGCTCTGGCATGCTTAGCTTCTGAGCCTGTGCTGCCAGCTGCGAGATGGTGCTCAGATACCAGCTTCCTCAGGACACTGTGAAGCCCAGCAAATGCTGGCAAAGTGCCTGGGAACCTGCAGATGCTGTGGAAGCACTGAATAATATTAAAGCTACAAGTTGCCTTTGTACCCAAGCAACTTGAGGTGGCTTTCACAGGCTGGACATTATCACAGCGGCTAAGTACTCTCCTCAGCAGTAAAATACATGGCACGTCTTCAAAATATTTACTATTTTAACCTCTAAATTCAGAGAGAATCAACTATTGCAGGAATGTTTTTTATTATAGTTCACTTATATAGATTATATAGTTCACTTACATAGTTCACTTATATAGATTTTATTATAGTCCACTTATTTGATGCCATTAGAATGCTGTAGAATTAGCCCCCTAAACTATCTTAAAATCTAATTTTAGTGAAGAGGTCAAGTTGTCCCTAGAGTCTTCATAAAGCCAAGGCCCTGACTAAGTATTGTGGTCACTACCTCTTAACACACACTTGGGTGTTATCTCCAGTGCTGTGCGCTCAGCTCAACCCCCATCATTGCCTTCTCCCCAGTTCACGTCCTTCCTGCACCAGCCAGCCCACGCTGTGGTCAACAGTCGTGCACTCTGCCCTGCTGATCTAAAGCCTGACAAAAGTTTCACTACAGAAAGGATAATGGGCGTGGCAGCATTTTCTTCCAGGAGTGCACTTCCACTTCCTTGCCACATCCCAGGTGGGTGGGGGCCATGTGGACAGCACCACCCCAAACGTTGTGCAAGCTGCCCAGACGATGACAACGGGCAGCTGCAGAAGCAGAAGCTGATATCTCGCTGTAACGAACAGCTAAGCAGTTCTGGGCTCAGGAGGCTAGTGCATCTGGCATCCTCTCGCACCATGGTAGGGCGTTTATCATCCACTAGGATTTTAGTGCACATGTTTAATGTTCAGACTACATTTGCTCTTATGTCTTCAGTAGACTTGAATCTTGTATCAGATTAGGGTGCAAAGAAACCCCTTGAGATCTCTGTATCTCAGTGGTAGGAATCACAGTGAAAAGATTTCCTTCCTAAACTAGCTCAATCGCTTCGTAAGTGTTTAAGGTTGGTCAGTAAGATAAATTGATCTGAAAAGCCCAGTAGCTGCCATAAAAAGAATTCAGACAGTGCTGTGTGCATGAGGCAAGATGGCACAGGGAAGTGCTAAAGCTAACAGAGTATATTTATGGCAGCTGCAATGCCTTTACAACGCTTCATTTTACACCTCAACACTGCACAGTGTAGTCATGTCTCACCAAGGAATGGCTGTTTTCCCTGACCACAGCTCTTGCAAAAGACAGACTCAAGCCCTCCCAAACAGCCCCAGCTGTGGAAACTGGATTTGGGGGTTTTCTTGGGGGGTCCTTTTCCTCTCTGCTCCAGTGACTATGGAGCAGCAGTAACTCCAGATACACGTACAGTGCTCTCAGCTTGTGGGATGCAGACACGTTTGAGGGCCCCAGAACTTTACTTTCATCCATTACTGAAACACCTCTTGGCTGATGCCTTTTGGTTTTGTTCCGTCCGTTAAGCGAGGTGCATCTCACCTCCACACCAAGCTCTGACTTAAGTGAATATGTGCAGGAGGAATCGTTCCAAGCGGGATTCAGGTGAAATCTCTGACTATCACCCAGCAAAGAGGGAGGCTGTAAATTCCTGTCTGTTTCTACGCTTAGGGTGGGCAGAGAACAGGGGTCTCTGCTTCCCCTCTCTTCTTTGATCTCAATCCAACAGCTTCAAGTGTTTGCTGCTAATCCTCCCTGCTCTTCTGGAGCAAGCTGATGGGGACGTGCATTCAAATAATCTGCACGCTGGATGGAGAAATGCTGGCTGCAAAGACCACACAGCCTTCCCGTGAGCCTGAAGCCCTTCTCGCGGGCAGCACACCTCTCCACTTCCACAGTTCAGTGTGCAGAGCAGAAGAAGCAGGAGTCTCTGCTCCATGCAGCATGACCTTCTTGTGCTGCACAGCAAGACTCACCCACGGTTCCCAGACTGATGCGCATGGCTGGCTCCTCGACAGATAGGCCAGACAGTCGAGGGCAGGAGCAGTTGCTTAGGCCACATGGCAACGGGAGGAGGAGGCCCTGACATCCCTTTCTGGGCCAAGGACCAGCATGCTGGGAGCAGGACAGAATAGGCCACCAGATCCTGCACCAGGGAGCAGAATCTAGCTCCCTGTCTCCCGCAAGAGCAGACGAGAGCCGCGCTTGCACAGGAACCCAAACAGCAAGGCCTGTCCTCCCCCAGCCTGGCTGTCTCCTTTGCACCCAGCGCTCCAGACTTGGCACTGCTGCCCAGTGCTGCTCAGCGCTGAGCTCTGCAGGGCACTTTGGATTGCTGTGTGGGGAAGGGGTGGAGGGGATCAAGCTGACTGCTGTTGGATACACCCTGGGGCTCCCTGGCATGACGGAGAGCAAGGGAGAGCAGGCGAGCCCCTGCTGTCCCCCGTGGCATCCCGTTGCCCTGCTCCCTTGGGGCTGGCTAGCACTCGTACGAGAGATGAGGCTGAGAGACAGCGCTGGCCGCCTCTGTTCCTTTCACAGGGTCTGTGAGTGCCAGGACCCTGCACTGCCAATGGCAAGAGAGAAAGGAGACCCGTGAACCCTCTGCTATTACCCTCCACCAGCAGGGACCGCAGGAGGTGCTGTGGGTATCTGACGCACCTCCGCAGCATCCCCACTGGTGGTCCTTCTGGGCGCTCCGCTGCACCGTGCAGGAGTCGCATTCACTTTTCCGTCAGTCTGTCGGTAGGAGGTGAGAGCTCAGGCTGGAAAGTACAGAGGAGCCTGATGAAGGTAATCAGTCACAGGCACAGCCACGGAGAGGAGGGAGAGGCCTCAGCTCCACAGCAGGACCTTCCTAACAACCGATTATTCTCCCCAGACAGGAGGCTGCAAATAAAATGTGATCTCTCCAGCACCAAGGTCCCCATATCACTGCTGATGTTTTAGTCCTTTCTGCTCAAATGGTTTTAAAACCTTAGAAACTGTATTATCTGCATAGCTAACATCTCCATTCCCTTTTCTTCTTCCTTTCATCTTCGTTTACTCTCTGTATATTTCTCATCTTCAATGAGCAAAAATCACAAGTCAGCTTTAATACCAGAGTCTTCATAACCATCTGCAGGAAACAGATTATGTGGTACATACCTACTCAAAATCAGCAGACAGCCCGCCTGGGCAGGAGGAGGGGCTCTGCCTACATGCCTGGAGAAGAATTTCTGCTCTGACCCCGGATTTTCAATCAGTTTAATTCTCTCCTTGTGCACCAGTATTAATGTTTATGAATGTTTACGGGTGCTGAACAGGACTGATGGGGCTATATTCTGGCTATCTCCATCCTGTGACCTTCAGGGACAGGAGCTCCAGTGAATCTTTTTGATTTCTTCCACAGAAAATTACTCTTCCCAGACTACTTGTTAAAGTTTGATCTGGCTGTTTGCAAAGACACACACTGCTGTACTGAGAGATGGCACCTCTCACAGGGTCCTTCAGCTTGCGGAGCACAGGCATTTCATCACAAGCGGAGGTCATGCCTGGCTTCTCACTCTTTGGGGAAATAAAGATCTCTTCTGCCAAGTTAGTGAAACCTCTTCCCTGCAGGGTCATCATTAGTTTATCCCAAGAGTGACATGACTCTTTCAGAGTAGTCACTCCTCTACAACGATCTTATGGCCTTTACTTCCATCCAGGAATTACAGTGGATGAGCTCAGCATGATGCATGTCAGGGGGAAAAAAAAAAAAAGGACAGGAATCAAGAACTTTCCCACATAAATCCACCAAATACGAAAGACTGGCAAGCGCTCTGACAGGCCAGGAAACTTCAGGCAACTTGCCTGCTTGAACACAACTGCACACATTCAAAATAATGTAAAATCCAATGCTTCCTGGAAAGTTTCTGGCTCTGGTATCCTCATTCCTGCACATTAGCATGGGGTTTCTCTCTCTGAAATGTACTGGGTAAGGAATGAAAGCAGAACCGGCTGGGCAAGCACAAAATATTTGAAAACACCAACAAGAACAACATTGCCAACTTCGCCCCCCTACACTTGGGACCAACCTATTAACTCCAAATTTCAGCTAAAGAACACAGCATCAATTGTTCAAACAACATGGAAGATTATATCCTCCTGGAATAAGAAAAGGGCAGTAAGTAGCTCTTCTAATGGTTAAAATGAAGCGACATCTGACACATCAACAGAGATGTGCCCAGATAACACTGCAAGGACCCTCAAAGCATTTTCTCTCTTTAAAGTTTTCCCCTTCCACATTATTACTGAGTTTTAGCCTTCAGAATATGAATGGGGAGTAAAGCTGCCTCTGTGCACTGCACTCCCCACTGGCAAACGTATAAATGATTCACAGCTGCGTTCAGGAGACCGATCAATTAATCGTTGCAGCTCTCCAGTATTTATATTGGGCATCATTCAAGCAGGCCAGCTCTGAATCGATTACTCGTTGCTTCCAACACCAGCAGATCCTGTACTTCATTTATACGATTATCTTTGTTGAGAACAGCACGGGTCATCCAGGACGAAGGACCCTTGCTCCAAATAAGAGTTTTATCTCATCAAAGAAGTGGCACCAAAAACTTCTCTTGACCCTGGGAAAGTCACTCAAGAAGAGGCAACTACCCTTTTCTGGGCTGAGCAGAGCCCATAAACCTGCCTGGAGCACCGTGTGGGAGCAGGGCTCAGCTCACGGCCCGCGAGGTATCCAGGAGAGCGCACAAAGTATGAGCACGGTGGGGTGGTATCGGGATCGCAGAGGGGAAAGTCATTTACCGGCAGCATGGACCTGCACCCTACATCTTTTTTGTTTGTTTTTTCCTAGACTCAGATGGCTTCACCCGCAGTTGGGCTCTGAGAGGTAAAAGCAAGGTCAAGTCTTTGCCTTGCAAAAGCAGAGCTAAGAACAGGCTTTGTCGAGCCACGAGAAGGCCATCCTGCCTGAAGAGCTGCCGCAGCGCCCGGCACCGGCCCCCCAAAGCCAGACAGCCTCCCGCGCCCCCCGCAAACAGGCGGCACCCCGTGGGCTCCGCCGCACAACAGGCTTCGCCCTCAACGCAGCCAGCAGCAAGAAGGAAGCAGACACAAAACTGCTTCTTTAAAACTCTCCAAAGGGTTATAACCTGCCTGGCAAAACACAAGGAGAAGGCGCCAGGTCCCACTCCCTCCTGACAGGCATGCCAGGAGCCCCAAAGAGACATCCCTGCCGGGCGAGGGCCCGCTCCCCCTGCGCTCTGCAAGGGATGGGGCAGCTGGGGAGGAGTACACGTGCGAGAAGGGGTAAGAGGAACATCATCCGACATTATCACCTTTCCTACGGCAATCCTTTCCTGACTAAATTTTCTGCCAGTTTGTAAGCCACACTGTTGTTTGGGGATAAACGGTCCCCTTTGCTCAGGCAGGGCCTTCGCTGTGTCCCACGCTCCTCCGAGCCCCGGTGGAGCCGCAAGGGGCAGAAGAGAAAGACTTGGAGCAGCCAGCCCAGCCCTCGGTGGAGAGGGAACCCGCCATGCCCGCGGCCCCCTCGCTGTACCTGCGCTTCCGACAGCATGACGTCCTTGATCACGGGCTGCCCTCTAGGCTCGTTGTTCTCCAGCTTCACGTACGTGACCTGGTATCCCCGGATCTGCCCGTGCTGCTTGTTGGAGATGGGCAGCTTCCAGCTGACCCGGATGGCAGTCGAATTCACAGACTCTACCTCCACCTTTCGCGGTGGGGCACTGGGCACTGTAACACACATGGGACGAACACTTAACAGCAGGCACCACGTGACCGCTGCCAGCTAATTCTCGCTCCTTCGCTACCTTCCCCTCACCGCACTGCGAGGATGGCCCTGCCAGCCAGCACAAGTTCCCTCTGCCTGCCTGGAAGGTCATACTGCAGTTTCCAGTGGGACCGTACTCCTGACCCTTTCCCAGCATCCAAGCACTGCTGTACTCTCAACGGGAGAGAACAGGGCTGTATAATACACAGGAGCACCCTGGCTAAGAGCGGCTGTGCTGGGGCAGACCCGAGGTCCATCTCGCCCTCTCTCTTGCCTCCAGCAACGGAGAGCGGCAGGAGAGCGAGGAGGAATATAAGAGTAGCAATATAATAGGAATACAGGAATATAATATGGCAAGCGGGTAGGGTACTCTCCACATGTACTCTCCCAGCCTCCAGCCGCTTACAGCTCAGGATGTCCCTCTCTGCGCCCCATCACTGCACAGCACCTCCTGCCAGCTCATCCTTGTCCACCCACCCTGCTTAAACACAGGCCAGCAGCCCCAGGTAGCGCAACGGGGTGCCGAGCCTGCCTCGCAGCAAGCCCTGCGTACCTGCCTCCAGCCGGAGCGCGCACCCGCGCTTCCACTGTGACAGCAAGAGGTTAATGAGGGGGAAAAGCACCATCCTAAAACAATAACCCAGAGCTCCGAGACAGCAGTCACTGAACTCAGCCAGATAAAGGGGCCTGTGGGGATTGTGACAGCTCTGGGGACTGTATTTCATGCACGGCTAGCTGAATGCTTTTTGATAATAAAATGAAAAATTATGCTGCCCTGAAAATATCAATTTTCTTGCAAGGTGAGGCCCGTTTAAAAATGTATTTATACCCTCTTTACCATTTGGAAAAATTACATCCTTATTACTTTTTGCTCTTGCATTGACTGTGACAAAAATGTCAAGGCTAAAAAATTAGCCTCTCCGTTACTCCTGGAAAGCGCTCCCTGCAGAGGTATGATACTGCTGCCATGCAGGTGCCAAGTACGTGAGTGAAGGACCTGGGCTCCATTCTAGCACCGTTAGTGCGGGTCCCCCTGCCACTCTCCACTGCCACTTTCCACTGGGAAAAATCCAGGGGTTTGGAAGCCCCATGTGCCCTAATTCTCAGCACAGCAAGAAATAATCAGGATTAGATAATTAGGGATGGATAGCTGACATGCAGACATAATGAATATTGCTGTTTCAACCAACTAGATGGGAAGAAACAGCTACCCAGCAGGTAAGCACAGTTTTTACGCCGCAGGGCAATTCATTATTTTCCCCAGATGTCCTTCTTAATTGTAGATAATTAAATAAAATGTAGAAAGGAGGAATGGAGCATTTTAGCACTGTGAGGCCAGCTCAAGGTATAAGAATGGAGGGGGCCGCGCTTGAATAGTTACCACCTTCTGGCTGGAGCAGCCTACGCTGTAATCCAATTCACTTAGTGCAGTGACCTTGGACAAGCCATAGGGCTTTCCTGCCCTAGCAAAGCACCTGCCCACACACACTAATGGGAGTCTGAGCAAAAAGCACGATCCTCCCCGAGAACCAGACAGACCCTCCTGTCAAGCTCCGCTGGCAAGAGACTGTGGGAGGCCTCGGCAGGACCCAGTGCCAGGAGGTTGCAGGGACATTAAAAGATGCAAACACGAGCAGCCCTGACCACAGTGTTTCCAGGAGCGCTATGCTACTGTGACAGGGGGAATTATCCCGTTATGGGGGGTATGTGCTGCATCTGAGACCCAAGAGGGAAAGTTCAATTTGCTTTCAGACCACAGTTCAGCATTTCTTATTCCTTCCTCATGGATGTCTACCAAGCATCAGCATCTTGGAGGGATATGAAATCGCTTCTGACAGCTGAGCTGGAATGTCCAACTGTGGTGCCCTAAAACTAACCGAGAGAGCTTGCTGCGACATTTCTAGGGTAGCAGCTTCCCCTGGGCTATAACTCTGCTGAACGAGAACTGAAGCAAACAATACAGGCAGCAGGACACGCACAGATGTGTTCCCAAGGCCAGGAACATAGTCAGTGAGCATTCCCAGACACCACTTCCAGAACCATGGAGACATGGGGGACAGCGGCAGCCCATTTAGTGAAACTGCAACATGTCTGGTTTCAATTTGCTACGCTGACTGGGCAATTCAGAGACTGTCCTTTCTTTGCCTGGATGCCACATCGCTTTCTCCTCCCATTAAAATCCGCAGCTTCTGAGGTCAGCATGAAGCCATGGAAGTTCCTACTGTCACCCTGAGCTCTGGCACTTTCAAAGGAGACAGCTTAAGTCATGATGACATAACTGACAGCCCCGCTAATACAAAGCAATTTCTCTTTAAAGCTGTCGTATCCAGTAAAGTCTTCTGTACATGCGATATTCTGACTCTTGAGTGGAAGAACAGATTTATATAAGCTGTGGCTTGCCTGGAAGCCAGGGCGGGAAGCAGCTTTCCTGAGATATCCACAAGTTTCAGATGGGTTTCATTTCCCCTCTTCAGTTTGCTGGATTTCAGGTCAACAAGTAAACTTTAAGTCCTGATCTCAATGCGGGAGGAGCTTTTGGCTGGGAGAATTCCCATCACCTTCAGTAAAAGGGAAACTACCCCCACAAAACACCAGAAAGCCAGAACAACAAAGCACTGTAGTGTCTCCTCATGCACGCAGGAAGCACTGCTCACACATGCAGGACTCTGGCGGGCCCACGCAGAGGAATCTGACCCAGGGCCTCTAGGCAAGACATCACATCAGAGCAAGGGCCACCAGAGCAATTCCTCTCCCCCCACTCCAGAGCAATTGCAGAGACCCATTCTCTGCAGCCGCTGACCAAAGCGCGGCGTCAGATAGCCCCTGGTCCTGCTTGAAAAGCACTTTTTTTTAGCTTCAATACCCCCAACTCCCTTCTCCCTTGCCAGCAACTCAGCTAGGAGAGTCCTGGTCCTGCAGGAGCTGTTTGGTGACACCTACCATCCTCATCAGTGCGCACGTGCACGGGGGTGCTCTCCGGTCCTGGCCCCACATCGGTGTGAGCCCTTACCCACACCTTGTACTCGGTCCATTTCTCCAGGTCCTTGATCTCCCAGCTGGAGTGTTCCCGTCCAATGCCATCCACCACATGCTTGGTGCTGTCCTCTCCTTCCACCGCCTGGTACGCAATGGAGTACTGGGTGATGACCCCATTGCGGCTCTGGGCAGGCGGTGGCACCCAACTTACCCGGATGGTAGTGGAGCTGGTGCTTACACACTCGACTTCTTGGGGTGGGGCGGAGGGGGCTGGGGATAAATAAATGAAGGAAGTGGGGAGATGAAGGGAAATGAGTGGAAGGAGAAACCAAAATGCACAGGGAACTTTTACCCAGCCAACTGAACACTGAACATAGGCATGAAAATGCAGCCATGAGCTTCCTGGACAACTGCCTGCCTTCCTTACAAATCAAAGATGGCACTAGGGGCAATTTGTATTTGAAAACCTGAAGAACAGCATGGAAACACAAGGGCTGCTCCGCATCAGAGAACACCTCATCCCAAAGCAGCCTGAGATGCTCACTTCACCAAACACAGTAAATGACAGTAGGGTTTTGACAGGTAGGGAGAAGAAAGATACTTACAGTGAAGATCTGAAACAGACGGAAACCAGAAGAGCTAGCAAGATACCAGAAGGCAAGAGTGGCAGAAGGGGAAGCTCGCACACCAGACTGCGTGAAGGCTTGCAAAAACCTGCTCCTAGACAAGTGTAGGAAACAGCAGAGGGCAGGGAAAGTGAGTGACTGAGGTTGGCTGCAGTGCATCCAGGGAGGCTTCGAAACCGTGACCATCATCTGTGAGCAGCACCTGGCCCCAGGTTACGGTGAACGGCTGGCAGGACACCAAGGAAAGAGGAGCTACACTCAGATGTTTCTCATGAGGGCAGAGGGAGGGAGGGAGCCCATCTAGTTGGGGAAGGCATACAGGAGCTGGGTGCTTCTCAGGGTGCTTGCACAGAAGGCAAGAGCCCTAAGCAGGGCACCACCACTGAAGAAGCGCACATAGTTGCTCTGAGGCTAGCAAGTAGGTTGACCAAGCGATAAGTGAGTCACTTGCTTTGCCAAAGCAGGTGAAAGAATTCTGTCTTCCATTCCTGACTTCAACTAGAAACTTAAAAATGCATGAAAAGAGACTGGTGCACTTCCCTGTGCCGGGGTCCTTGCAGCCATCAGTGCACCAGAGCCAGCCTTTCAGGGGATGCAGGGAGCAGGACAAGCCTGCATGCTCATCACCTGTGCAAAGGTGAACAGAATCTACATTGTCCCAGACGGCAGTGGGGAGCTGAGAAAATTAAAGCACCCAACAACTGTGCTGGGGAGAAGATGGCAGCAGCAGAAGATCTGGGAAAACTGGGGACAGCAGAACCCCCCAATGCCACCTCTGTTTGCTGGGAGCATAGGCAGTCCCAGGCCTGTAGGTAACTCTTAGAGCCAATTTCTGCACCCAGGGAGCAGGGCCCATCATGCCTGGGCCGGGGAGCCTGGACAGAGGAAAGGAGGAGGGACAGTGCACAGTAACGGACCTGGAAGAGATGGTGTCTGAGCAGAATCAGGCTGCTGGCATGGGAGCTGTACTGGAGGAAAAAGAATCCAAAGCTAGCGTGTGGAAGCAAACAGTTCCCTATGCGAGGAAGGCAGAGAGAGAATGGCCCTAGCATCTGGTATACTGGAAGGGAGAAGGGGTAGAAAATCCTCATACTCCTCTGATTAAGCAGGCAGAGAAGAGGCAGGGAAGAGAGCAGGAAAACAGAGCACCAAAGCAACACCAAGAGTGAATTTGAAGAAGGCATACGGCAAATACTGAGCCTGGTGGCATCCCTCCAAGGGGATGGGTGAGACATAAGGAGCTACGGGCTGGCAAGCCTTTCCTTTGCCTGCAGAGAGGCCCATCATAGCAGAGATGTGCTCTGGCTTCTGGCCTCCGCAGCATCACTCAGGATGCAGCAGTGAGCTCCTTCTCCAAAGGCAGCTTTGGCTGGCAGCGCAGGCAGGTCAAACGCTGGCTGTTGACTGGGTAAGAGTCATATATACAAGTGCAAGGCACAAACTGAGATTAACACAAGCAAAATAAAACTTGGTAACATAAGCAGGATCAACTTAAAACGCACAAGGAATGGGAAGTGTCCCTCCCGGGGTCAGCAAAGAGCCAGCCAGGGGGCCACCATGCACCCCCACACACAGACACACCCCTATTCACACCATGCACCCTCTGCTGCCTCTGGGCTGCTCACACTTGCCTCACATACTGGCCCACAGCAGGCCTGTGCACCCATCCAGCCAATCTACTCCTTATACCAGGGGAAAGCCAGCCTCAAGCTTCCACAATGTTTTGAGAGAGAACAACATTTTAATGGTGGGGACTGATGGGTGCAGAGCTGGTGCTCCTCTCCTGCATCATACTGTTTGCCTGATGTGCTGCTGACTCCCGGAAAGCTCCTCTGTGCTTTGAGGACCCTCAGAGTCGCAATGCTGTACTTCTTGCAGGGTGCCCAGCAGCTAAGAAAGCAGCTTGGAAAGTCAACACAGGAGGCAGCTGTCTTCTCAGGAGACCGGGTCTAGTTGTTCTGCTGGAAGCACACACTGATGCCACCCGGCAAGGGGCTCTGCACCCTTCTGGCATTCCCGGGCACACATCCCTAGCGCTTGTACGTCTAGAGCACGGAATCCGGATGCCAAGAGGAAAACCGAGCCAGCAGCAATACAGAAGCTACTCTCCAGCCCGTTAGTGGCTCGTTAATGATGATGTGCCTCCTGCCTTATCCTTGACTGGCTTGTCAGGGCCAGGAAGAGAGCCTGAAGCCAGGCTCGTTGGAAAGCAGGAGTCTGACTGCTCCCGCCATTTGCATCCCACCTGAACATGTCGTTCTCCAAGATCTAAAAGTCTTTTTCAGGGCAACCAGATGGAACAGTGCAGGAGGGAGGCCAATTTGAAGCAGGGAGCAATAGCCTTTCTAGATAAATAAGTTTTAAGGCCAGAGGGGACCAATCCAACCATCTAATGTGAGGTTGCTGCTTAGCACAGGCCAACTAATTTCACCCTGGAAGTCCTGCACTGTGCACACAACTTCAGCCAAGCTAAAGCAGAGCTTTCCAAAAGACCGGATCAACTTTGAGACTCCCAGTGACCAAGAATCCCTCTGCCCCGGGACTATTCAGCCAATAATATTACCATGCTGAATGGCCCTCTATTAACTGCCAAGCATTTTTCTCTCAAAATAAAGAGTGCCATAAGAAATGCTCTCCTCATGCAGGAGGCTTGTAAGCCATAACCCAGTCACTTTTTGGATAAATCAAAGAACTCTTAGGTCCATCAGTATGCGGAGGGTCAAACCAAGTTATTCCTGTAGCCTTTAGCTGAACCTCTTCCAACCTGTCCACATACCTCTTACTGAGCAGATACCAGAATGAGTCAGGTGCTGCTCTACTGGCCAGTGAAGCAGCAGCCTGAAAATAGACCAGTACGAACGACCTCGTTAGCAGACAGTACGTAGAGCAGGTCAGGGAGGATGCCTGCTTTGAGGAGTCCACAAAGCAAAGGTTTCTCTTCCTTGGACTGTCCTGAGACTATGAAGGACTCATTTACGCGTGGAGCCGTCTCTGATTAAGTGTGTTCAGAGATAAGAGCCTTCATTGATGGAGTTAATATAAGCGCCAGGAGAGTTGCTCCAACCTTTGCCTATCAATACAAAAGCTATCTGAAATAAGTATACAAATCCTCATACACAGAATTTGTTCTCAACGTTCAAATATTTGTAACTGCTTGGTCTGAACTGCTCTCCATTTTCATACCTGTCTATTGTGCAGCATCATTACTCTTTTAACAGGGTGAAGGAATGCTTGCGACTGGTATGTTAATGGACTGAGTTCTCCTCAAAGAGGAGGTCACGCCAACCCTGAGCGGAGCTGCTCTTCCCTGTCTGATCTCCCTTTCTAATGGCCGTCTCAGGCTCATCGCCGCTGTGCATGCAGGCGTCCTCTCTGCAGGGAAGGCTGGCTGCCTTTGCCAACTGCTCACCCCACATGGCTACTAAATCCCAGACAGACGGTGCAAACGGAAATGTCTTTTTTTCCCCCCTTTTAATGCTCTTTGCATAATGACAAGCCCAAAAATCGTTAGCGAAAACGAGCTTATCGCAGGGCCCTTTGATAGCCCTAATCTGCTTATGCGCAGCACTTTGAGCTGCCAATCAGAGCAATGCGAACTCCTGCTCTGTGATCACATGGGGCAGAGAGAGGATGAAAGCGATATTGCCTGGGTCACCTCATTATCTAGCCTCTCTATTAACTCTGCTGCAGCTTGTTCTGGTTTCCCCCAGTGCTGCAGTCCCAGAAGCAGCAGCCTCACACAACCCAGGGACACAGTCACTTTCCCAAACTCACTCCTCCAGCTGCCTGGCAGCCACAGGCACATCTGGCCTCCAAGGATGCCTCACCTTGCAGTCAAGTGTATGCATCAGGGAAGGACTCCTGCAGAAGCAAGACAGCTGGAATGGGGAGTGAAGGGGTAAAAATCCAATGGTTTGGAGGCAGGCACGTTTAAAGCCAGCCAAACACCCATATGCTGCCTGTCCGAACAGCTTGCCTGCATGGGAGTAAATTCATAGAGATGCACAAGCTCACTCAAATCAGTCTCTCCAAAGCAATTTCCCAGTCTGTTTCACTCCTCCATCAGTTTTTATGAATCTATCCTTAGGGAAGGACAGCATGATCAAAGGGACACAAAGAAAGAACTTACCACTTGGGTGCACCCCCTCTGCCAAAGAGCCCTGATCCAAAACCCCAGCTGACTTTCCCCTGTTTCCCTTCAGCTAAATGACGCAGGCTGGCATCCCTGCAGACCGACAAGGGCAGGGGCACCGAGCTGCTCCGTGCCTAAGTGAGGAAACTGGACGGTTTCTGCTTTGTCCTCAGTAGTGCAGGGTGTCAGACACTTACTGGATTGGGCAGTTCTGGCTTCGATCATGGGGGTATAGACTCCTACCCCCAGCTCAGAGCGGGCTCCCAGCCGGAACTTGTACAGTGTGTCTGGTTTGAGACCTTCCACAGCATACGAGGAGGTTGGGTCAAACTCCACCTTTTGCTGCCAAAGGAGGGAAACACAAGTCATTCGGTGTAGTTGGAGAAGACATAAAAGCTGGTGCTCAGCTCCCAACGCCAAGGGGAGAGGCAGCCCCGTCAGCCAGTCTGGCCCCAGAAGTCACAGCCACGCTGCCAAACTCACAGCAGTCCTGCAGGACTCCGTGGGCTCTGTCTTCTGGGGTGAAGCACAAGGACCGTGCAGTGAGGCAGATCGACCTCTGAGAGCCTGACCACGCTGCCTGGTGTCTACACAGCACTTGCTGTCTGGTCGCTTTGTGGGAAGGCAGGGCCTAGCTACAGAGTTCAGACCTGGGGCACAGGCCACACTAGTTTGTTTCCTCCCAGCACGTGGCATGTGCCCGGGAAACAGAGTCAAGTCAAGCCCCCATCCTGGAGCAGTCAGGATCTCTAATGCATCTGAACAGTGCTGGCAAAGGTCTGGTTTGCTGTCACTTGCCCTGGAGGGTCTGTGGCCACCTGTCTCTGGCAGCTCTCACACCAGTATAAACACAGGAAGAGGACAGGACTATGGGACACTGTGATGCTGGCATGGTGCTGTTCTCACTGGGCTACTCCAATACTAATTTTGAGATATTTAGAGCTGGACTTTTTTTAGGGACCTAGCAGTAAACATGGAAGGGCTCTCTAGGCCACAATCAACCCGCTCCTGAAGTGCTCCAGTCCTGGAGGCCATTTCAGACCCATCTGGAAGTCACTGGCCTGCACAAGTGTTTAAGGACCTCAGCAGTAAGAATGCCTCAGGGATGGTGCTGTAGCATTCTGGAGGCACTCCAGTCCCAAACCAGTCACCAGCTTCTTTATGGGGACCAACAGGCACTGGTGAAGTCACTTCTACACGAGTCGGACAGAGATTACCATACACCTATCACAAGCCCATGGGACAGAGTCATTACCCTGAGAAGAAACAGCCCCTTTGCTATTGCAGCTCAAAGTTATTCCAGCAAAAAGACCATTCCCAAGCTGCTGAACTGTGACATCTGGCCCTGTTTGTTGCCTGAAGCAGAAGCAGACTCCTCACCTGAACACCACCCTCTCCTTCCCAGTACAGCAGCTCGTATTTGGTAATACGTTCCTGAGAAGCTGGCAGCCACGTCAGCAGGATCCGGGTATCAGACTCTGCCTCTGCCTGGAAGTCAGCTGGCTGGGCAGGAACTGGGGACCAAACACACGGTTAGTGCCAGGAAGCAGATGCCAAGAAAAGTGTTGCACTGCTTTTGACCCTTCACCTTGGAAGGATCCTCTTTCATTCCTTCCGGACCCTCCTTTCTTTCCTCTCCCCTGCACTCTGCTCTTGGAGCATCCAGGGCCCATCCTGGGGACTAGGGGCCTCGTGCTCATCTCCAGCCCGACTCTGCAACCCAGCTCCTTCCACAGGTGTACTTGGCCTCCCCAGAAGGGCCCCAGCACAGTCGCGTAGGTGTCAACACTCACGTCCAGGGCTTTGTGTGACATTTTTAGCCACCGTATCTCAGACAAAGCAGTGGACTACGTTATTGCTATGGAGATTGATACCAGCTCCACAGGATAAGCAACACATTATATCTGATGTCTGTGGTGCTGGGATGTCACGCTAACATGCAACAATTTGAGCAGCAAGCGCAGCTGTGATGCTGGGTGCTGATCAGACTCACAGCAGAGCCACCCACCACCAGCGTGGGCACAGAGCTGTGGCACTGCACACCATACGTACCCCCTTGCTGTGTTTTGACCTGGATGATGTCCGAGGGAGGCCCGTCACCCACTGAAGTGAAAGCCAGGACGCGGATGCTGTACGTGGTCCCTGTGATGAGGCTCCCCACGGTTGTCAGGTGGCTGTCATCGGTGTTGTGTTTCTGCCACATGCTCACAGGCAGATGCGGGTCAGTTGTATAATAAACACGGTACCCTCGAATCTGTCCATTTGGCTCCTCTGGCTGCTCCCACTGAACCAGCATGGTGCTGGCACTCAGCATCCGTGCCTGGACTTTGAGGGGTGGACTTGAAGGAGCTTGCTCTCCCGTCCGGGCCTCAACCAGCTCGCTGGGGGGACCCCTGCCAATGTTATTGACTGCAATGACCCGGAACTCGTACTCCGAGAAGGGGCTGAGCCCACCTATACTATAGCGCGTTGTTGCCACACCATCTACCTCCTGGAACTGGCCCTCCAAGGATTTGGGCTTGTACTGGATGACGTAATATGAAATGGGATCAGAGTTGCCCGAATCCCAGGTGAGGGTCACGCTGGTAGCTGTCGTTTCAGTCACTAATGGCTCTGTTGGAGGTTTTGGCAGCGCTGCAATTGGAAGGCAGAGAGGTGTGATTTAAATAATTCAGTCAGCTCAAACCCTGCAATGTGCACAGGGATAAAAATGGAGCTGCCACCTCCCATTAACATTCTTCTTTAAAAGGCAGAAATCATTTCATACTCTAGAACATGCATTTTTATATTACCATATATTGCTTGAAGTGGTTCTTAATGGAAGGATAAACAGAGCAATCATGTTATTAGACGTGCTTGACGCACTTACCAGCAGCAGGCTAAATAAAGGTAATTCAACAGGGATGCAGGAATGTTTCTGTCATGGGGGTTCAGCTGGCAGTGGGAAGGTGCTTGCTGGGCTGGGCTGGCCCCAGAAGCCAGGTTCACAGCTGATTCACAAGGGGACACAGTAAAGCAATCAGAGCACTACATATAACCAGGAGCAATGCTCCCGATTCCACAGGGACGGCATCTGAGGCCACAGGGAACTCATGGGCAGTGCTGTTAGATGGGCTGATGAGGGGAATGCCTTGTAAGTAGTACAGTACATGCAGGAGGGATGCAGTCGGAGAAATTACCAACTTTCACAGCCACTCTTTCACTGGGTGGTGTGTCAAACTGTAACCAGACAATAAATTGTTACACAAGAACTCTGTGACACTGACATCTGTGAAGTGTTAATGAGAATGCAGTTACTGCAAGCAACCATTTCCAGATTTGCCATTTTGCCAGAACAAAGAGAGAGCGAGTGTGTCAGAGCACACAAATACTTTAAGACAATGAGTGAATTAAAGTCTACGGTAAGTTTAAACCTCCTGTGAACCACTCTAGATAAAGTCATTAGTGATCTGTACTCAGCTGTGCTTGAAGAGGAACTAGGAAAAATGCCTCAGCCCAAATCAAGATTCCCAAGTACTTAATTATCTGGCAAAGCCATCACGCTTCCAGCTTCCACCTGGTTCAGCTGAGAAGGGCAGGCTTGCTAGCACAGAAGCGTGCCTGCCCTGAGCGCTGGGGAAGGATGCCTTTTCCAGGGCTACCGCAACATGGATACTGACAAAATCAGCAAGGGCTGAGCTGGCACGAGAAGGAGGAACACGCTACCCCCCTCAACCACCCAGCCATCCATGGAGGACTTGGAGGACAAAAGCATCCCTCCTTGTATCGCAGCCCGAAACAACACCCTTCCTAGAGCATCCAAGAAATTGGCAGCCTCCCCCAGGCTTACAGGGACAGATGACACTCATCCGCCCTTTCCTTTGTAGAGGCCAAAACCTTGACTCTTGCCAGCTCTTGGGTGTGCAGCCTGCCTGCGAGCAAGGGGCAGACCCAAGACCTTGAAGGATCTTAGTGCAACCAACTCTGTGTCATCTTGCTTCTCCTGTCTGCCCCGCAAATGATTTACTCTCCAGCAAGCACGAGGAGAAGCAACGTCGGGTAAAGAAATCTGGGACAGACACAGCAAGATGCCCTGAGTGGAGGTGCAGAAAGGTGAGGAAGAGAAACGAGGAAGACAGTAAGGGCCTAAAGGAGCTGAGCAGAGGCTCCAGGTCCCTCGGCCTCGCAGACCTGGGGCAGCAGCAGGCGCCGCACCAGCTGGGTAGGGAGAGAGGATGTCACCCCAGTACCAAGAGGTAAACACTGAGACCCCATTAGTGCAGTAGGGCAGCCTCCACCTCCTCCCAACCACCTCCACGTTGAACCTCATTCTTCTCTTCAATTCTGTGGTATTGTTCAGGCAGGGACTCAGCGCTAAAGGTGGCCATAATGCAGGAGGGGACTTCTGAGAACAGAGAGACACAAAAGCTGACTTGTCTATGGAAATCTGAGCTACAAATCAATGGGGAGGAGAGGAAGAAAGGGATGGTGCGGACCTGCTTGGCCACAGATGGAAAACGCAGGACACGTACTTCAGCCCTGAAGTTTGGGAGCTGCCTGAGGCACACTGCCATGTCCCCAGTGGCCCATGGACAGCAATCAGCGGTAATGTAAAGCCCCCTGTGGGGCAAAGTTATCTGAGAAATGGCAGCAGGAAGCTGAGTAGGAAGGGAAAAAAGAAAATTGACAGAAGAGTATAGGACTGAGAGGGTAAATAGCTCCCCTCTGAAGGGGGCAGGGTGCTCAGTCTAGCAAGTCCCTGTGAACACGATCCACGTGGCTAGGATTAACCTCCTCATCCAGCACCCACGTGCTAGATAAGCATGGACCCAGCGAGATTCCCTCGTGGCGCAGCAGGGACCCGGCACACAAGCCTGTGTCCTGCCATGCCACGAGCAGGGAGAAGGGAAAGGGCCTCCAAAGCAAGCAGCATAATGTGAGTAGGAAAAAACAAAGTTGGGGATTTGTGACCTTTCCTCTCAAGGTGGAAAAGTCACAGGAGACTCTACAGTCCACTGCTGCACCCAGAAACACTCTGGCAAAAGGCTGCATCTTTGAAACCCAGGTAAGGAGCATCCTAAGGAACACACAACCCCTTACCTTTGACAGTGATCTGGGCTGTGGCTTCGATCATGCCGAGGGAGGAGATGGCCACACAGGTATAGTTGGCGGATTGCATGATGTTATTCAGCTCCAGGACGTTCCTGCCAACAGGCATCTCATCTTCTTTGGTCAGCTCCTCCACACCAGCCATCCACTTCACGTAGGGCATCGGAGCACCTACCGCCACGCACGTGAGGTTCACGCTCCCCCCAGGCATCACCTCGTGGTTGCTCGGAGGGATAGAGAATCGAGGTGCAACACGCCGCACTGAAACAAGGAAGAGACAGCTAGTAGGGTCACAGAACTGGCAGACGGCACTCAGCTGCGTTGCGGGGGTGTGTGAAGGGGGTTCAACAGTCTTGCCTGTCTATCCCTCGGGACAGATAAAATGAAGTGCAAAAGCTGTTCACTGCTTTGCCAAATTGCACACACTTTTCTCCCCTTCCTTAGCCACTGGCATCTTATTAGAAGAACTCATTAAGGGATGGCTCAATCCACTCCCTCCAAACACAGGCTTTTAAAATCATATTACTAACATGAAACATTCCCCCATTTAAATTACATCCCTCTAATTAGAGGGCATGCACAAATGCCAGTCACACACTCTCTCCGTACAGGGCCCACTGAAGCTCTGCAAAACAGAATTACCCGCTCCATTTATTAGCTCTAGGGCAAAGCAACCTGTGTCCTAAACCTCACCGTGCTGGGGCAGGGGCCGCAGGAGGGTTTCTTTCTGAATTAGCACGCGCGTGCTGCTAAATAAAACGTTAATTCTTTTCAAAATGTAACTCAGGTTCTATGTTGGCTCAGAAAAAACAGTCACCAGAGCCACAGGACATTGTCAGAGCCTGAACAGAGCACCTTCCTGGCCAGGAGAGAACTAATCCTGACGGATGTGAGATCATATCCATTTTGACATAAGAGAGTGGGGCTGGCAGCACCCTCCCCACCTTTGTGGCAGCACTTTGGGAGATGTATTCCTCCTTATTTCATTGCACAGCTTCTCTTCATATCAATCCCTTGCTGGGTATTTCATTCAGGACTTATTTGTAAGCAACTCTCAGCTACAATAAAGCTCTAAAGCTGCTTGCCATATGCATTCCCGTCAGGAAAATGACACTGAGAAATGAGGCCCCTTCTTCAGGGTTAGTGTTATGGGCCTATTTAAGCAAGGGTAAAGAAACAACTGTGCTCCGTAAATCTTCGTCTCCTCTGGGTAAGCTGATTTTAGTCTGTAGTTAAAAAGGGAAACTGCTTGAGCATGTCTCGCCCAGAAACCCTGTTCTCCTCTAGCCTCTTCCACCAGGAAGGCAACCCCAGAGCGCTGGCCGGGCTCACGACTGATTCCTCGGGAGCCTTCGCCTGCCGGGTTCGCTCCTGCGTCCGGGCAATCGAGG